GTACCACGACAACGCCCATTGATGATGGAGTCGTTTTACTCTAACAAAAACAATAAATCGCGTTTAGGAGAAATTTGATAAACACATTGTTTTCCCACGTTCAATTAGATCTCATTTACCAACAATAAACAATTTTACAGACCCATGCATCAGCAATAGCAGTAATTTTTCTTAGTACCAAAGGTTAATGTGGCAATGTAACGTCACAGTAAATGTTTTGCGTGGGTTCTTTAAAATGCTAAACTTCAAAGTTTGATCCACAGCACCCTCCCCCCCCCCTCCGCCTGTTGCCAACACTATACGTGCGATTTCGAAAACGAAATGCATACCGTGATTGAAATACACACTTATAAGGGAGTTAGAATATTTGCCTCAAAAATGATACGTGTTCTAAATTTTCTTCATGCTAAGTATCTAAATATAAGTAAGAATTTTTTAAAGGAAAAAATCAAAAGTTGAATCATTTTACATCACACAGCCATATTTTGAGAGAAACCTCAATACAGTTTCAGCCTGGTTACGAAATCAAATATTCACCAGTTTTCCTTCAAATACAAAAAAAAGCGCAACCGTGATGTCCACCAGCCCTAGACGAACAGCTCCAATAACTTTGGCTGCAACTGCCATCCTCTCGTCCTTCTTGTAGTTAATCCACTGAATCACGGATTTGAGGATGAACGTCTCAGAGGGTGCACTGGGGTCATCTCGGCTACGAAAGCGGGTTAAATGGTTTCCACTGATGTGCGTCGAAAACTCCTTGCTCTCACAAACATCTGTATACAGCTTAGCCACAGCACACTCAGCAGCGTCTTGCAGATCTTTCAGCCCATAGCTCAACGCGATTTTCCAGATGTGGCAGTAAGTTTAAAAGTCGAAACGAATATTGACGAACTCGGTTGGCATGAAATTACAACACTGATGAACAGCACTCGCTACTTGAGGATGATCTGCGGCAGCAAGAACTTTGGACACGCTTTCCTCGTTTACAAGAAGTTCTCCAGTGTAGATGGAGTCCAGTATGATCTTAAAAACATCAGGAAAAATGCTTTCATCTTTCAGCTCGATCACTTGCTGGTTGGACTCCTTCAGTCCCATTGTAAACATTACGTAGAAATAATCGCTATTCGCAGCCAGCACGACACGATGAGCTGGAAAGATGTCTTCACCAACTTTCAATCGAACGTCGATGAATTGACTTTCGTTTCGAAACTGAGCACATTTCCACAGAAGAATATCGGCATGGGCAACCATTTTCCTGATCGAAAAGAGAGTTTCACTGCTATTCAAAATGCGACAGAGAAGCAATGCCACTCACGTGTTTCAAGTTCTGGGGATCGCGTGATTGCGTGACCGCGGATTGATATCAACTTCAACTCGTTACTATGGCCACTGGATAGTAACGAAATATATGATTTTATCGCTCTTCAGGCGATCTGCGGGACAGTGAGGGTCTGTGGAACCTCCTATTTGGGGAGGTTGATAGTTAAGGTGACAGCACACGTATGTTTTCGGCTAAATATTTCCATTGATGCCTAGCTGAGCCGAAAGAAATCGATCTTCTCTAAATCTAACGGGAAAGTTTCAACCCTGTAAAATTCCTAAGGTCTCTGTCAAGTTTGGATTGACTCACAATAACCAAGCTGGCCCAATGACTTCTCTGTAAAATCTCACACATGTGCAGCTCAAACTCGCTTGCCTTAATACGTATGATTCAGTGTTCGTTACTGTTGTTTTCCAAGCTGACTTTTCCAGAGAACATTACAAAGCCAGCGGAGGCTAAATTTGGCTGGGTAGAAAAGGTAAACAGCCACTAGGACGAGCCCTATGGTGTCCCTATAATAGTATCGATGCAGACATTATGTGGAGATTTAAAACAAACAAAATTGTGCATATTTTAACAATCGTTGCTTATGCCACCCTCCAGAAAATATCAGAATTTAATGTTACATACGGACAGTTTGATCTTTAAGGGTGCAGTCAAGATTGAAAGCTGATAACAAAGTTTTAACAACTTGAGGCTGTCTAGACATTCGAAGGTACGACTGAGGTGTAACTTTTAAGATTTCGTTTGACACATGAAAACTGTCTCTGTATAGTAAATGTACGTCAATACTTTAAAGTTTTTATTTAGACCTATGAACCTCAATATTCTTGACTTCGGCCCCGTGTAAGATGATTTATAAAAAGCGGTGGTTCATTCACTCTTTGAGTGACCCGTTATCTTCTTGCCACTTTTCTTTTACAAAAGGAACTCTACTGAAGTAATACTGTTTCAGACAGCTATTGTTGATACAAACACTGAGCGACCAATCTCTTCTTTCACTTATAAGAGAAATTCGAAATAACAACACACTACAGTTATGGTTTTGGCCTCGTGCGGATTATGGTAGTTATCGTGCATTGTCTGAGCTCTAAGCTTTAATAAACCAAAAGGACAGCATACGACTGGTGGAACACCTCTGAGTCGACCATGCTGTAACTTGTTCCAAAAGTAATTTTGTGGAACACTTTCTTTTGTTTTGTTAAATCTCAGAGCTGCTCTCCACGTGTCTGAAGACCTTCTACAAGAGGAAAGACACTAATTAAAATGTTGCTCTCCAACTTTCAGGTAGGTTTATTCAACAGTCAAATGTTCAGTATAGGAAGCTTGAAACATTAAAATCTTACTGGTAGACCTAACTACTGATCTACCATAATCTAGCAAGTTTAACAATATAACTTTTAGGTTTAAGTCACGCAAAAATGCAATTTGGTGAGGTAAATCTACAGTTATTAAAATACACAGGTCTTTGTACGGCTTCGATGTCAATCCTTGTATCAAAAGCAAGACGCCTTTCTAAATAACTTTCTGACTATATTCAATATAATCTTTGATGTTCAAAGATGTCCCTGACCTAAGACTTAGTTAGCAATTTTCAACCCTTTAATTTCTAAAAGTTCTTCTCACAGTTCGAATTTTTACTGGGATACCTGTGGTAGCCCAGTCATAAAATGCCTTCGTTTTTTTGTCTTTTTTTTCCTCCGCCACAAAATGGAAAATTGCGCAATAGTACCCAATGGTCATTGGGCCCTCAACACCAAGACAACTAACTGTGATCCAATGAGGTGTTCACATGCTGATCACGCGTGTTATCTTGATGATGATTGACGTTGTCATGCACAGACAGGGCCGGGTCACATGACGAATCACGAGATTTTTGCTTATAAAACTCTTTTATCAGTCGTTTTGTATTTCAACGTATTTGGATCGCGATCTCCTGAAGCATTATGGCGCAAATGCTCAAAATACTTACAGACGCATAAACAAGTCGTATTATTTGCGGCTAATCCACACTAAAAGATGTTATTGAGCGGTAATTTTGGAACGGATTGAGTCGCGAACGCTTGAAAGCCATGAAAGCCTTGAATGCCCTGTATGCCAAGTATGCCAATGTCTTAGTTGAAAAACGTTCACTTGTTGTAAAAAGAAAAATCTGAAATCTGAAACCAAACTGCATATACTCTATACGCCATGTTGGATTCACTTGATGGCAAGGAACGTAGCTACGATAACAGTAAGAATGGTATTAATTTCACGATCAGAAAGGTGAATCTTATATTTGTTTTCATTGTAGTTGTATAGATTTTTTTTTTTAATAAATACGTGATCCAAAACCTTGTGTCTTTTTGTGTATGTTATTATGTTAAGCATTGTTTACGCAATTGTCTTGTCACAGGCAGCCCAAGCTCACGTCTCGAGAAAAAGCCAACGATTAATTCATGAACGCGTCACGCGTTGTGTGACACGGTGTTAAGTTACGAGAGGAACCGTTGGCAATTTGAACACGTTATAAGGAATAGTATAGGGAACGAAGTATGGTCGATTTACAACGATAAATATTTCGAAATATGAACATTTTTCTCGTAAAATAAATAAAACTTACTCATACCCTGTGTATCCGTTGTAGTTTCTGGCGATTTCTGCCGTTTTAAGCTTTCTTTACCATCACTGTTATTCACGTCATCTACTTTTATTTACTTTGGTAAAATCACAGGCGGCCCAAGCTCCAGCTGTAAGATGATCATCTTGCGCAATAACGGTCATGGTGGAAACCTCGAAATGAACAACTCGCTCAAATGGGCTCTTTTCATTAAAGTAAGCGGTCAGATAACAAGCAATACGCTGTGGAAGTAAGGTGAGGTATTTTTTTTTGAGAATTTGACGTATTTTTTATTCCTTAAAGCGGTCGTAAATATTCCCATACAAACTCTTATAATTCCGCCATGACCGTTATTGCGCAAGATGATTATGTCACAGCTGGAGTTTGGGCCGCCTGTGGTAAAATCTGTACAGACATCACACCAACCAACTCGCGCGCAAAGTAAGAAGACTATGTTAAAGGCTTGAAATAATATTGCGATCGATTTTCATCAAGAAATGGGCCAGGAATATTCCACAAGAGTGCAAATAATCGTGAAGGCTGATCGCAGAAAAGCGATTGCGTGACGCTCGGTAAGCTGTAAGATGACATGTTATTATATACCGGACGTAAAAACTCTTCAGATTCTTAGATTCTGTCGAAGCCTAAATTTTGTGACTTCTTTTTCTACAAGTATCATTTCGTTCTTGACAGACAAACTTATCATCGAGAGAATATTATCTTGATGTGGCACCATCTTATCTTTACAAACACGCAATGTGCCATAATCGTTTTAAAAACTACCTACCCTACGGATATTTAGCCTGATCTCTTACAATTCTTTTTTGAACACTAACATGTTTTCACAAAGTTCCATTGAAACTTTCCAAAGTGCATTAAAACATGTATGATTGAATGGATAATTACGAAAAATAAAATCAACTTGCAAGTCTGTTTGCGAGTAACGAGGAGAAATCAGACAAAGAATCACTCTTTGCTCGTTTTTTTACTGACCGCTCTCTCTCTTTATCGTCATAAAACATAGGGCTGCATTTTCATCTATTTTTCCCAAGTTTTCCCACTCATTTAGATCAGCAGAATTCAGGTTCCCATGTGCAATTCGATTCCACTGTCAACTGGAAAGTTTTTGACGATGAAGTACACCCTCCCTCCCATTACCACTGCATTGAGATTGTTACCAGGAATATGTGTTTGTGGAACAGTGGACCACCTGTTGGTTTCTTCGCTATACATTTCCACTGTTTTTCCCCAAGCGACGAACAGTTTACTGTTCACTTCAGTAAGACTGGAATGAACGTGATTTAAGGAAGTTGTTGCTTTTACTTCCCACCTATTCGCTTGTGGATAAAAACAATGCAATGCAGTTGACTTTGTACGCCAATGGTAAGAATCTGATTGTCGATTTTTTTCGTTATAGAGAGCATACACCTTTGAATTCAATACTGCGACATCAATAAAGAAAAAGCGACTACGGTCATTATTCGTGTTACTTACTTTAGCAATTGTTTGCCACTGACATTTAGCGAAATTGTACCTTTGAGGGGCCTCGTTACAACCTGCATAAAATGCATACAAATACTGTTCTGTAACACATATTTTACTGATATTAAGACCTGAATGTAGATGCCTCTCCCACACATTTGCCTCTGTATCATAATGGTACATGCAGTTACCTAAGGAGTCCTCCGCAGCAACAATCAACTTATCGCCAACAGATACTGCGCAGTAACACCGAGTTGCCCCAATTTGCGAGGAGGCAACCGGTAAAGTCTTCCAAGTCTTGGCCTCTACGTCGTAGTACTGCATTCTTTCCTCAGGCAAAATAGCCACAAGAACCTGAGAGAGAATTACAATGTTATGATATAAAATTAACAAACAACCCGATAATTTCCTTTTCAGCTCCTCTCTCTCTTACAGAGGTAGCTTCGAAATGTTTCTTTAAAAATTAAGGAAACCACAAAGAAAGAACACCGACATAAAGTAGGAAAAAAACAAACGAACATATCATCAGACAAACAAACTGAAACGAGGATGGAGAAAATGTTTAATCGTGAATTGTAAATTGTAAACTTGACGAAATTTGGCAAAAAAATTGTAAAAAAAAAAATAAAAGTGAGTAGTGCGTTACGAACTTTATTAACACAACCAGTGTAAATGCAAATTAATGTCGACATTTACTTTTGAAGAAAGCGGTTCATATCCTTTCAAAACGCACTTACCGGGCTCTTTGATCGTGGCTTTGTTTGCTCCACTGAAGACTTAGGTTTACAGGTTGGCCTGTGTCTATAGATTGCTGCTTCGTAGACCTGCCTATAAATTTCAGGAATTTGTTGCATCTCCTCGGTGTTAAGATCATCAATTACAACTCTAATATCAACCAGCCCCAGACGAACAGCTCCAATAACTTTGGCTGCAACTGCCATCCTCTCTTCCTTCTTGTAGTTAATCCACTGCATCACGGATTTGAGGATGAACGTCTCCGAAGGTGCATCAAGGTCATCTCGGTTGAGAAGGCTGACTAAATGGTTTCCACCTATGTGCGTCAAAAATTTCTCGCTCTCACAAACATCTGTATACATCTTAGCCACGTTATACTCTGCAGTGTCTTGAAGATCTTTCAGCCCATAGCTCAACGCGATTTCCCAGATGCGACAGTAAGTTTCAAAGTCGAAACGAATCTTGACGAACTCTGTCAGCAAGAAATTACAACACTGATGAACAACACTTGCGACTTGCAGATGATCTGCGGCAGCAAGAACTTTGGTCACGGATTCCCTGTCGACAAGAAGATGTCCGGTGTAGATAGAGTCCAGTATGATCTTAAAAACATCTGGTGAAATGCTTTCATCTTTTAACTCGATCACTTCCTGGTTGGACTCCTTCATTCCATCCGTAAACATGGCGTAGAAATAGTCGCTATTCGCAGCCAGCAAGACACGATGAGCTGGAAAGATGTCTTCACCAACTTTCAATCGAACGTCGATGAATTGACTTTCGTTTCGAAACTGAGCACATTTCCACAGAAGAATATCGGCATGGGCAACCATTTTGCAGAAGGAAAGGATCTCGCTGTACTTTCAATATTAACAACATATCAGGGGGCGCCTTGCAGCAAACGATCAGCATCAGATTCCATCCACTAAAACCACCTCGGTCGAGAGGGACTGAGATGGAATGATGGACAACTCATGACTTGTTATACTAAATGAAAATTACGAAGCTATGACAACATGCCGACTTATCCCGATGACCCAAATGTATTATTTGTTTGGGAAATTGCGTCAAAACTTTTTACTCAAGAAATGGTAAGTACTAATTTATTGTTCGATTGTAGTATTATAAAACATTTTACGCAATTTTATGCAGATATTTCACGTATTTAAAAGGTGCCCAGATGTTACGTAGTTTTGGTGAATGTGAGTAGGGAACATCCACCAAAACACTGACCAAAACCATCAACAATATATTTTTTTTATTTTATCTATAGCCACTGTTAGATCTTCAGGGAGACAAAATATTTATACCACTAATTAGCAGTTAGTTCTCTGGCTAATTATTTTTTATGGTTCACAATTGCTGACCGACCAAACGTTCATAATGATTATCATAACTCATAACACATAAAATAAAGTGGTTTTGGTGGATGTTTCTCTCCATCCACCAAAACCACCATAGCAATTTCTGCTACTTCCTTTACAAAAGACTGATGTGACCTGCTATTTGGAGTATGTAACCACAATCTATTTCTTTGTATGTGGAGATATTATGCAAAGTTCTTAAGTCAGCACCTTCTATTATTGAAACTATAATCATAACATGGTACACAATATAGAATACAAAAGGTTCTGGTATGGCAATCATGTAATCTTGAAACAGGAGAGTTTTTAACTGAATTAAACTAACTTAAACAGATATTTGCAACAAAATTCCAGATCCAGAAATTTCTTACACTATTTCCTCTAAAACAAATCAGCACATCAGTAATTGTTATCAGGGGTCTGAAAATCTTATAAATCTTTCACATTTATTTCAAGTAACCTTTCATTTCACAAGGATGAATAAATATATACTCAAGATGCAGAATGTCTTACATTTTACAAATTATTTCCCTTTTTATGGATAGACAGTGAAAGGCCTTTGCCACATTGGGGAATCAAATCATTGTATACCATGTATTTCGTGATAATTGTTTTTTTTTGCTCACAATATCCAAAACAATGGAGGGGATAAATTTAAATAGCAAATTCTATTAATGGTTAAAATTAAATAACATTGGAAGATCAAATTAACTTTGTACTGTTTAAAATTCAGTTTTGGTTTCTTGCTTATTCCGGCCTCTTAATATTCAAAAGCATTCCTTGTCATTTTTGTGTTCTTTTGTGTAACATAACAGTTGAAAAATAAACACAGAGAAAGGAAACCACAAAGGATTAAACTTGAAGCTAAAGCAAAGTTTAAGTTGAGCCATAGCTGATCCAAATAATGAGCACTTCATATTGTAACACATTTAGTAGTAAAGTTTATCTATATGTCTGCCAGCTTGTCATAAGTCTTACCCCTCTCCTCCAAAAGTCTCTATAAACAAATTTTTCTTTGTGGTCCCCTAATTGATGATAACTATATTACAGCTCCTCAGTTTCCCTCTCTCAAGACAAGGTAACTCTAAATTTAATAAAGTAATGGACTTGATAAAACTCAAACTATAACTCAGTTGGCTGCTACTTGCAGCCTTAATTTCTTGATATCAGTATACAATAATCAATATGTTATAAATAAAGAACCCTAATGCTTAATTTTGCAGTGATCACCTTCCTCCTTTTCATTTGCAGACCAGACTGGAACCTCCCTAGGTGTGTTTGCTTGTTTGAGTGGGGATGGAAGAAAAGGAATCATGCCGCATATCTGATTTATTAAACCAGATTCATTCTGTTTATACATGGGTAGTGTAGGCGCAAGAATTTGTACTATCATTTTTTGTTAGTGTTGGTGTTTCATAGTTTCGTGTTAGGTGTTTATTTTCTCGTCTTCCATTAGTGTCCTTTGTCAGTTACCAGTTTTGTACTTGTTATATTTATTTGCATATCGTATATATATTGGTTGCGCGTAATTTATTTGGTTAGTTGTCTAGTTTGTGAAAATTACCGTTACATATCTAGCTCTGGGTTTCATGTTTTCGTCTTTGGGTTGGTCACATTCGTCTTGTAAGTATCCTTGTTTATCTCGCTTTGTCGTTTTCCAGTACTTTCACTCATACGATGTAAGTTATTTTATGCTCATTCGCGTGTTTGTAATTTTGTCATTTTCAGTTACCGTATTCAACAATGTGTCAAGTTTGTCCTAGTAAAGTTTGAAATACATGTGATTAGCGTTTGCGGCTATAGGTAGAACTGGGGTACCTTGTTCTGTGTAAAAAAATAAAATTTCTCACATTTTTATCTGTGCCTTGCAGTCAAACTTCCTTGTGTCTTGAACAAGAAATCTTATTTTCTTGAAAACAAGATCAACAGACTAAAAGTAACACCAACCAACTAATATTTTATGTAAGTTGACTGCAATACAAAAACTGTTTAGGATTTAACCTTTGAACTGTTTGTCAAGTTTTTTCTCCTTTCAAATCAGAATGGTGAATGAACTCATTCACTTTTCGTATATTCTCTTTTTAGAGGCAAATAGCAAAGAACTGCACATTCTTTAATTTTTCCTAAGTTCTTCCACTCATCCAGTGGAACAGGATACCGCTCCTCTGGTAAAATTCTAATCCCGCTGTCGATTGGAAATTGATTGATGATGAAGTACACCCTCCCTTCTATTTCCACTGCACCAAGATTATTGGCGGGAATATGTTCTTGTTTAACAATAGACCAGGTGTTGGTTTCCTCACTATACACTTCTACTGGTGCGGGATAATTGTGATTTTGATCAAGAGAACATTTTCCCCCAGCAACAAAGAGTTTACCATTTACTTCGAAAATACTGGATCCAAAATGAGGTTGGCAAGTTCTTGCCTTTTCTTTCCACTCATTCTTAGCCAGGTCGAAGCATTGTAATACTGCTGGTTGATACCTTCCTTCTTTTTGGTTTATATTACTGCAGAGGAAAAATATTGATACCTTTGAATGAACTATTGCTCCAATATTGCAGGCCTGATAAAAACCATTTGAACTCAGTTTCGAAATGCTTTGCCATTGCCTTTTGGCAATGTTGTACCTTTGAGGAACCTGACCTAAATTAGAACTAATAGCATAAATGTAATCTCCTAGAATACACAGGTTGTTAATCCGTAGTGTGAACGGAAGCTGCTTCATCTCCCAGGCATTACTCTCTGTGTCATAACGATACAAGTAAAAGCCACCAACCGGGGCTTGTCCTGCAACGAACAAGTGGCAGCCAACAGAGACGGCAGCATTGCAATGAGCCGCCTGGAATGACGGTACTGTAGATAGTAAGGATTTCCATGTTTTGCTTTGGAAATCAAAATATTTCATTCGAGCTTGAGGAAGAACTGCAATCAGAGCCTGAAATGAAAGAGTAACATCACTAATCAAATCAAGTCACTGGCCCACTGCTGGAAGTGACAATTGAAATAGCGAGCAAAAGAAATTGAGTCATTCACGTATGAATAAAGGTGGTAAGTTTCCAAAGAAACTGTGGTGCTGCTTCAGGGGGGGAGGGGTATGACAAAATAATTTGGTTTTATCAACTGAGTTGATAACGCAGACTGGCCACTATATAGAATTTCTTTACGGTGGCCAATTCACATTATTAACTCAGCTGAGTCATTAGCAAACTTTCTCATTCCATCTCCCGTTGTTCACCCGAGTATTGATTTTCTTCCTTCTTCTCACTAACCGAGAGCTTGACACAAGCTAGATCTTTACATCATGCGTCGTTTTACCGTATGCAAACATCATGTGAATACCTGAAACAATCACAAACTAATACAACAAAGGTATAATGCTCTTAACATTCGCTATTAGGCCAACTGAGTACGCCCTAGTCCCCGGTAGTATTACCGCCCACCAACCACCCCCTTGCGAACAACCAAGCTCATTCATGTGAGAAGAGAAACATCGCCTCTTCATTTGAAAGATCAACGCAGCTGGGTTGTGATCCTTTTTAATGAATCGTTCACGGTCCTATTACATAATGGGCTTTTTATTGCAAATGAGAATCATCGACATAATATTAACTCACTTGACTTGTTGATCTTGGTTTAGTTCTTTCCTCAGCGAACTTGGATAAATTAGAGGGCATGTTGTTATGGACTGATGCTTCAAACACTTGCTTATAAATCTCAGGATCTCTTTTCATCTCTTCGGAGTTCAGTTCTTCAATCACAACTCTGATGTCCACCAGCCCCAGACGAACAGCTCCAATAACTTTGGCTGCAACTACAATCCTCTCTTCCTTCTTGTGCTTGATCCACTGCATCACTGATTTGAAGACGAACGTCTCAGACGGTGCGCTGAGGTCATCTCGGTTGAGAAGGTTGACTAACTGGTCGGGTTCCATAATGGACAAAAATTCTTCGCTTTCACAGGTATCCTTAAACGTTAATGCCATTTTGCTCTCCGCCGCCTCTCGCAGATCTTTCATACCGTGTCTGTCGGCAACCGTGCAGAGCAGACAGTAATTCTGCAGGTCCAGTCGGAGCTGAACAAATTCTTTCTTGAGGAAATCACTGCAGCGTTGTACAACACTCGTCACTTGGAGGTGAAATGCGGCAGCGAGTACTTCAAAGACGTTTTCCTCGGTGACATGAAGATCTCCAGTGTAGATGGAGTCTAATATGATCTTTAGAGCATTTGACGTGATGCTTTCGTCTTTCAACTCGATCATTTCTTGGTTGGACTCCTTCATTCCATTTGTAAACATGGCGTAGAAATAATCGCTACTCGCAGCCAGCACGATACGATGAGCTGTAAAAACGTCGTCGCTGACTTTTAATCGAACGTCGATGAATTGACCCTCATCCCTAAACTTAGCGCATTTTAAAAGGAGAATCTGAGAGAATGCAGCCATTTTAACAAGCGAGACAATTGGATTCGCACGACTCCGTCACTCGCTTGATCGCGTGACCAAAGATCAATTAGGGAACTTGATTTAGGAAGTATTTGCATATTGCCCAGGGGAGGGTGAGAAAGATGAATATTAAGAGGCAAGGAATTTGAGATCATTTGGGCTTAATCTTACGATACTTTAGAAGAAAAGGGTTACAGTTGCGCCTGATGTCGTTCAATTATTGCGATTTTTCCACCACGAAACACTCCGTAAAGTATTTAACTTTAGCGCCTATGAAAATACATTTCAGTAACACGGGAACCAGCCGGAAGTTTAGAGTTTTTTTCCCTGGCGGTTACAACAGATCTTTTGTTTGTACCGTTAAGCCTGAGATGCTAAGACAAGAGTTTTCCAATTGACTGTCAAGACTCACCAGAATTTATTCCATTCTTTGGCCGCCGTTTGCGTCTCAAAACTTCTGAGTACTAAGGACGCTAAATTTTAATTGATTTCTCCTTCAAGGAATTTATAGACACTTTACATTTAAAGATAGACAAACAAATTTGCATTTGTCACGTAACTCAATTTTTTCCGTCAGGTGTAAAGTTCATTGCGGTTTCTTAAGATCGTATCAGTAATAACTACATGAGTTACAACAATAGACCTTCAGCGACAATTCTGCAAAAAGTCAAGGTCATACCTAACTTGAATCTTGTATTAACGCTGAGCTTAAAACTGATCGTAACTCCTAATTCAAAACAGGAATAAGCTAAATCATGCCTGTCAGTGTTTAAGTTTGATTTTTTAAGTAATGTTCAACTGGTATCTCTCGATCTCGATCTTTCAAAAGGGAATGCATTAAGCAAGCATCGATTCAAAGCACTTACTGAAATCTGTATTCATCTGCTCTTGCTTTTAAACGCGATCTCAACCGAATGGTTGAGTAGTTTATTAAGTGATTCAGTAAAATCCCATAAGCCATAACATGCCTAACATTGGCAATCCTTCAGTATACGTAGATAACCCGTAATTATGTGCCAGTGAACAGTGCCTAAGAATGGAAAATATTTGAACGCAAGGAAACGAGTGCTCTAATCTCCCTACGTCTAGTTATGTTTTGCGAGTCAAAGACAAAACACTAGACGATGAACTAACAAATTTATTGAGCATTATAAAATGTACATTCAATGTGAAAGTAACAATTTGATTCAGTGTAACTAGCATATTAAATTATAGCGCCTCAGATTTTTCAAGATCAGTACAGTTAACATCAAATTTCAGTTTCTTAGGTTCTTTAAGTCATAACCCAAAAATCGCTCTGGAACCATAAGCACACTTGATATAACCCTAACCCTGATAATTGCAATTTTAATTACGGATTCTGTGGGCCACTTTTAATGCTGACCGAAACTCTTAACCGAGAGTCAATAATAATGTTTCTACACACAAACTTACAAACATATCTCTAGCAGCAAAACTGACGATATGCTTTTTCATACCATCCCTGGGCCTTTACGCACTCAGTACATAGTGAGGGTCTCAATGGGGTTAGCCGTAAATAGGCTAAAAAATCTAACTGTAAGGCATAAAAAATTGACAAATTTTAACCTTTGGTCGTAAAAAAACTGAGATAACCGTAAAAAAATGTTTCTGGTGACAATAATGGAAAGACGTTAACCTGTAGCCGTAAATTGGCTATAATTTTAATCGTTAACCTTTAAAGCCGTCACCCATTGAGACCCTCCATAATCATGTCATAGCTCCAAATTAGGGACTATGAAATCCGAAAGACAACAAAAAAACACTTTTCAGTTTTATTTATGCATATAGAAAACTGTATCATTAGTAAAGAGGTAAAAAAGCGCGAGTCTTTGTGAACATGCGGGTACCTAAATTATCTGAGGTGAATAATCGAGAAAAAAATCGGTACATTGAATCCAGGTTTCTAACTTCCCTGATTTTAAAAATCAATGGTGCTTCCCAGTCCTTCTCAGTCTAAACCACGCACTAAATGTTGTTGCGGGGTGACTGTCTTGGTCTAAGAAAGGCGTAAACAGAAACATTTTTTCGACATTTTATGATGTAATGTAAATTTTTTTAAACCAAACCGTTCAGACACTTAAAATCTGGTTCCAAGCTCATCTCATGTTAAATCCTCCTTTTTAACAGGCAAATAACACAGGAATGCCTCCTTATTTACAGTCGTTAAATTTTTCCATTCTTCAAGATTAAACTGGCGCGTGTCCTCTTGTTGAATTCTTATCCCACTGTCGACTGGAAATTTGTTGATGTTAAATAGACCCTCCCTTCTATTTCCACAGCACCGAGATTGTTGGCGGGAATATTTTTCTGTTCTACAACAGACCAGCTGTTCGGTGGTTGTTTTACTTTCCCTCTACCAAACCAAGATAGAGGTCTTTTTTTTCTCCTTAAAAACTTCCACCGGCGCATTTTCACCGCGCGGCTCACCGTGCTGACTACACTCCCTTTTCCCCCCCGCCACATACAGTCTGTTACTGACCACAAAGAGACTGGATCCAAAGTGAGGATAACACGTTGAGGTGACATTTTCCCATTCATTTCTTGTTGGGTCAAAACAATGCACTATGGCAGGTTTTACTTTATAATTCACGAAGTGAAAATCATAAGCACGTTCATAAAACTCATGCATAATAATAACTTAGAGTTCATGACTGCTGCTGCAGTATCTAACCCTTCATGTTCAAATGAATTCGAATTAGCCTTACCCTGCTGCCAGGTGTTGTCAGCTAAACTGTAAATCTTAGGTGGATTGGATCGACTTATCGCATAAACGTAGTCGCCAACAGAACATAAGCAATGGATTTCCTTGGAGGAGCTAAACTTTGGAAGTTTTTCCCAAGATTTTGTAACTGCATGATAACTATAAATGTGTGAGTCTGATGAATCTGAGACTAAATACAAATAATTTCCGATATGTTCTGCACTAGACCACCGTATAACTTCTTCACCTACACCTGGCACAGCTTGTAACGGTTTCCATACTTTACTTTCCTCATCAAAGTAGTGAGTCATCGCCTGGTCAGCAGCCTTGTAACAGTATGACCTTTCCTTTGAGCGAAACGCAACAAGAACCTACAGAATAGTGAATAAACATGTGAAATAAGAAGGAGAGGAAGAAAATAAAATAAATCTAAATCAATTAGAATTTTTTAATTTTCTAGTGAAAAAATGTGACATTATAGTTTCTTTCACTACATGAGATTTAAATATCGCAGTCTTTACAAACAAAAAGTTATCGTAAAGTTAAACGTAAAGTTCATGTTAATGATATCCAGCGCACTTTATATATCATTTTTTCACGAAAAAATAAAATTTTTTATTAGCCCGCAATCTAGTGGATGAATAATCCTGCTAGGGTATGATTTTTACTTAGTTTCCTAATAGTTCGCTTATGGGGCTCCTCCTGAAAATAAAAAAGTTTCTGTTTTTTAACCTTACAACTTTTATTTATTTGTTTCAAGCCGGGATGTTATTTAAACGAGGAATGGGGAATTGGAAATGGGAAAATGAATTAGAAAACTGAAAATGGGAAATAATTTCAGCGGTGATTATCGATGAACACGATTTTTGCAACGTACCGCGGCAAAATAAAAGAAACATAATTAATTGAAAAATTGTTTATTCCACATTACAGACAGTTAACTTTAGAAAAAATAATAGTTTCCCATTTAACAATTTCCCGCTTCATTTCCCAATTTTCCTATTTGCCTGTTCCTCCTTTCCTTATTCTCTATTCCCCATTAACTATTTTCCAATCCTCATTAGCCAGTCCCCAGTCCCCGTTTTAATAACATCGTTTCTTGCCGTGCAGTTTAGGAAAGAAAAACTCGTTTCTTGCATTGCATTGGATAAAGTCCTGGTATAACACTTTCGACAAAAAGAAAATAACTGCATGTGTATGCTATGCATGCTATGGTTCAAGGTTTTATTCAGCTCCACAATATAATTCTTCTCCTGCCCTACTCTGTGTTGTACTCGTCCAGAAAACAAACCGAAACAGGAAATGGTGTCAAATCAAAGGCATAATTCAGCGATGATATTAACTCAATGCCAGGATAGGCAATAAGTATTCTATCGCCGATTGCAATTTGACATCTTTTTAGCGACAGTCACGAAAAGACAGCGACCGCATGCATGCCGACCTATATTTGCCATTCACATGAGATAACGACAGTCATGTAAACAAGTAGCGGGGGTGAACAAGACAGAAGCCAGGATACAACAGAACATCTAAATAACACAAAGCAACAGTACGCTAAGTTGATTACCGTCAGATGATGTCATAGATTCAGATTTGAAACCAAAAAAATTGGGGCACTGATGAAACTTGTGATACCTTTATAATTCATCAACTGTGCAAAAGCCAAACCGAGTGAAAAGAAGACAAGATAGCCAAACCAAG